AGTTCTCAGTTAATCTGGGTTACGCGCCTGTCATGCATGACTTGCCTGGCCTTTAGGTGCAAGCATCATGCACCCAAGTCTCATTTAGGCTACGTTCACACTGCAGGCGAAAGCGCATCAAATCCGATTTTTTTTTTTACCCTATATGCGACCCATATCCGATCATGGTATGACAGTGTGAACGGCACAAATCCTATATTTTCAAATCCGATCTGGGTCACTTTCGTATGTGGTACTGAATCCGATACATATCTGATGTTTCAGAAAGCGACTGCTGTGTGAACGGTCAGGTCGCATTAAATCCGTCTTTTACGTCACTGACACAAGACAGACGCCAATTATCAGCGCCGGAGAAGACATCGCGAACGCTTCCTGGCCATCCGGTGAAACTGCTGGGAAGACAACGCTGGAGAAACGTTAACATAGGCCTACTGTATAATCTGCAGATTCTGACAGAAATATGCAACTATCCTTTGAAGCACCGCTCCTCTAAAACAGCAATAAGGATAATTATTAGGTTATTTACATAATTATGTAAATAACAAAATAACTCAAAGCAAAAATTGGGAAACGTGAAGTCCGAAGTCTTTATATTAAGGGCCATCAATCAAACAATATTGTTTGCTCTGGGTCTAAACAGAGCGCGTTGTGTGTGACATCTTCTTTTGCGCATGCGGGCCGCTTTGAGCGTTCACACTAGAGCGCGTTTGCTGTTGCATTTTATTTGTAGTGTGAACGAGCAGACAAAAAAATCAGATTTGATCAAAAAATCGGAATTGAGCATTAAGACCTGCAGTGTGAACGTAGCCTTAGTCAGCTTTTTGACAATGGCTCCACCTAGATGAGGCAGAAGGTGGTGTGCTCTCAGTTTATGTCTTTCTTTAATCATTTATAACCAGTTTCCTCTTATGTGCTATCCTTCAACTCCTTTCATTCCTTGAAAGTATTCCAGAATTATAGTGTGATTTTGTTTTCTGCCATGTGTGCCGACACACATCTAACACATGTAATCTTAAATCTCGAGGTTCGCTCAACACAGAAGAAAAGCCAGAGTTAAATTACATGTCTTTCATCTACTTAATAGAAATATATAATTTTGAATATTTTTGCCTAAGAAAATTCTGTAACATAAATACAAGTTTTTTGGTGTTATAGACATTAGATTAACCCAAACTAACCAAGTTTTCACAACTTTTGGTTTGTTCAGATTGTAGCCGAGGAATGGCCTGCCAGATGACTTAACCTACAAGTTTTCATGTTATCACCAAGCCCACAAACACCTTACAAACAGGCATAATTCTTATATCCAGCACCATATTTTTTGTATTTGGAGTCTACTAAAACAGTTTTGTATAATTTATAGTTCCAAATAATCCTGACTTATCTAAACTGGGCCTTGGTGCAGCCCTTCAGTGTCCCTCTGTCTGAAACGAGCTTTTTTCAGCTCGTCTCCATATAAAGCCATCCTGTCTTTATGCCTCCTGGTTAGAATAGTTCTCAAGAACAGGTTTAAACGGCAGCTGGTTGAGCCTTCAACGGAGTGATTTCTAAAACCAAGTTCTGAAAAACCACAAATGTGAACAAGATACACATTTTGCAACATTTATTTTTGCAATTTTTCACTAACAGCATCTTAGATGTGTCCCATCCACCTGCCGTGGTGTTAACACTGAATAAAGAATCATTTCCAGTCAGCTTCATTGGCTTGATTGCCAGCACCTGTCTCCACTATCGCTGCACCTTATTAATGACGCACTTGTCAAAGCGAATGAGCTGAATTGTTGGTCCTGTTTGGGGCTCATGATGGGGACCACGCAGATATCTTTATGTGTGTTTCTTGGTTGTGTTATTGCTGTTCAGTCTGTTCTGTATCACAATGGCAGATTCACCCAGGATGTTGTGGGAGTTTATGAAAATCGAGTGCCTTTTTCATTTGGAAGAAACTTTGATTTTACTCCGCAAGGCACAATCTTCAGCTCCTGGCGATCCTGGACCCCCGACTTTCACAGGCTAGCTGGACTCTCTCCCTTCCTCAATGTTCCCAGAGTACAGGTGTATTGTGACGCATCTACACTAACTGTGCTGGTTGATAAGAGTGTCAGTGGTCTCAAACTGACTGGAGAGGAAATACAGCTGGGCAATGGCTGCTTCAGCAATGGAGAGCTTGCAAATGAATTTGTCTTCACTTATGGTTTTGGTGAATGTGGAACTACACCTATGGTGAGCATAAAGTTCTGTTGCAGTTCTGCATCTTTTTATGAAGCCTTTACCAAAACTGCACCATCTTACAGGTGGAGGATGACTTGGAGGTGTTCACCAACACCCTGTTCTTGAATCTGAGAAGAATTTCTCCCACCTGGTGGGAAAATCCCTCTGCAGTCCGCGTGTTCTGTGTTGCAAAAAGGTATGTTCTTACTTCAGTGTCTGCAGCTAGTCACCAACCATACTTACAGTAGGTCCATGTATTTACAGGTTGAACAAGATTCCAAAGTTTAGCGACACAGCACTTCCTGAGAATGATGACATTAGCATCAAAGCCATGAGTCGTAAGTAATAAAACACATCCAACGTCAAGTTTTAGCTGCAGCTTAATTTGTAAACACAGTTCTTTCCTGCAGCGTCCTGGACGAGCGCAGCAGAGTCAAATATCTACAAAAGAGGCCAGCTTGTCAATCTTCAGGTTTTGGCTAAAACCAGAATAAATCAAGAGGCTTTCATCCAGTCCTGCTTTGTCTCTGTGTTCCCTGAGCCTCGGGCCAAACCAAGGCAAACAGTCATATTTAACAAAGGGTGAGTTTTCAGTTGGGTGTCTCTCAACTGTTTTTGTTATGTCTAACCTTCTGATTGCCTGTGATATCACTGCTTACTGCAGGTGCGTAACCCCACTGGGTTCCTCCACTACTAGAGTGACGTTTGTGGCCTCCAACAGCGCAGATGCGGTTAATTTTGTTCTGAACACATCTTATCTCATTTCTGAGGTAAGTCTCTATAAACGGATTGCACTGATGTGCAGCTCTGAGTCTTCTCTGAACTGAGTTGTGTACTCTTCTCTACAAGTTGTATATCCACTGTAGCGTGCTGATCTCAGGCCAAGGTGTCACCCCAGGCTCTAAATCCTGCAACTACAATGTGATTGAATCAAGGTATCAATATTCACATAATGTATGTGTTTTCTTTTACCAATGTCCTATAAATGAAACTTTCCTTTCAGATGGGAGGAACTAAGTGGTGATTTGGAGGCATGTGAGTGCTGTAGCTCAAGGTGTAAAGGCAAAAACCTTCCTGGTGGTAAGTGCTTTGGTTTTCTGTCTGAAGGTGATGGAAGACAGAACCTTTATAACAGACTTGCTGCGTGTCATTTCAGATGCCAAAGCTGTGGTCAGCACTGGTCCCTTTGTCATTGTGGATGAAGATGGTGAGAGAACTCTGCCTTCAATCGCCGAAGAAGAAAGCGCTAATGTCCCAAACTCCATGCAGTCTGCTCTTCCAGATCTTGCTGATGTGATAGTTTCTTCTGTTCCAAGAAGCAAGTTCAATGCTGGCCCAGAGGGTGTAGTGGCTGTAAGTCAGGACCCTGCCACCAGGCTGACGCTCTGGCTACCTGAACAGGTGCCTCCTCAGTCTGACTCAAATGACATTGCCAAACTGCATTCTTCAACCACAAATCAAGAACCTCATCCGAATCCGACCAATGAGATCAAAGGTCAAAGTTTCAGTAGTGTTTCTCCGTCAACTATGAATTTGCCAACTATGGTTAACGGATGGAAGAGTCCTCCACACCCAGCTGTTCAAGAGGACTTCAAAAGAAAAAGCCGGTCTGGAAGATCTGGCAACTTTGACAGCAAAGAGGAACCGGTAAATTTCTCTTTGCCAGCTGAGATTAGTGTAAAGTACCTTATGCTGGTTGAACGGCCAAATTCAGCAGAATTGGACAACGCAGCTGCTGTAGAGGAATCCCAAAGTGAAAAATGGCTGCAGAATGAGATTAAGGACCCAAACCATGATGACCTGCCCCAGATGCTGACAGATGGTGCTATGATGCCTGAAGGAACAGATGAAATCCCACCAATAACGCGCTCCAAACTCTCCTTTTCCAAAGCTGCTGATGGGTCGCAGACACTGAGTTATGAGGAAGAGGCAGTGGTACACAAGACAAGTCCAGTGGAAAGAAAACAGTTGAAACTAAAGGGGCTGCACTCAACTTTCTTGAATCTGTTGAGGTAAATGACTTGTTTGCAGTTAGCTGGCAGACTGTTTAATGCATGTGAAGATGGCTGATTTAATTTGGTTTTTGTTTTTCCTCAGGAGGATGAAGAATGCAGAATAACCACGGCTTTAAAAGACTTTAAACTTGTACTTGAGATAAATAAAACTGATGTGCACTTATCTGGTCTCATTACACTTTTTTCTTTTTTTTTTTTTTTTAAATAAAAGTTGTATTAGTCCTTTATTTATCCAGGTAAAAATCTCATTTCCAAGAGAAACCTGGCATCATAGCAGCAAGTCTGAAATACAAGCTGCATTTTCAAATGACACTGTCGACTAAATAAGGCAGTCATACTCATTCACAACATTTCTCCACCGGTGCTCAATAGTGCATCACATTATTAGCCTGTTTATGAAACGCCCCATCCTGGCTGCAGTGAAAGGCTTTTATTCCCACCCAGATGTCGCTGTAGGGAGCTGGGCGCTGTAGTTGGGACAGTACCATGTGCGCTCTCCCTTTTACGCCGCATGCTCAGTGTTTTTTCCACCCCAAGTTTGACCCGGGCCACTATTTCCTCCGCACCGTCACTCTCTATAAAGTGCCCATGCTTCCCCCCACGCAGTCTCTTTCCCCGGCCACAAAACAACCGTGAGTGTCCAACTCACTGTTCCTGAAAAACTTAAAATAAAAATAATATAAAAAATATAAAATCCACAAAATCTTAAAAAGTGCAGATCTACTTAAAGAAATAGAAACCTTTAAAAAAATAGCAAAATATTATTTTAAAAAACAAACAAACATCAGGCCTCCGGCTTAACTCGAAGTTGTCTTTTTTTAAAGGAAACACTTAGAAGACACACGTCTTTATCGCGCTGCTTTTTCCAGGTTTGGCATTTTCAAAACGCCCGATCAGCTGTTTGTGCAGCGTGTCTTTAAACCAAAGCGCAGTTTGGATCCGGATTAGAGACCATACCGACATTTTTCTGGCGTTTTTTTAAAACGAAGCCTTGCGTTCATCCTCTGAAATCAGCGATATGAACACAGCGACGGGGAGTTATCCGATGGCTTCTCTCTATGTTGGCGACCTGCACCCCGACATCACGGAGGCTATGCTGTACGAGAAATTCAGCCCAGCCGGACCGGTGCTCTCCATTCGGGTCTGCCGAGACATGATCACCCGGCGGTCCCTGGGATACGCTTATGTGAACTTCTCACAGCCGGCTGACGGTAAGCAGGGATGGGATAGCTGTGCTGTGTGAGCACGTTGCCTCCACAAGGCGTGAACATGTTGACATTTCCAGCCTGCCATTGAAACTGTGTACAGAGCCTGAATTAAACGCAAATAAATGTGGTTAATTTTGCAGTGTGAAATGTTCATAGCAGTTCTTTAGACTGTATCAGTTATTTGACCTACATAAGCACGTCCCAGTTCTCGTGTATGGTTGGGAATATAGCAGCCTGTGTGTGTCTCTGATGTAATTCAAGCCCCCAGAACATGCAGAATTTAAACTGTCCTTAAAAGTTGGCCAAAATCAACAAACCATCCCCATAAATCACAGGCCTAGATTTGGGTAAATGGAATCTTTTCCTACACCTTTTTAAAAACCAAAATGACCCATTTCTGTGCCTATTTAAAGGGCCAATGAGTTGAGTGAAACTAACTCCCATTGCCCTCTGCTGGCATGTTCACTGAAAGCATGAAAGAGACAAGCACAGCTGAGCCCGCTGCACTGCTTGTTGCTTGTTTGTGCTGCTGCTTGTCTGTATATTCACTGCAAATGGAAAAACCTGATCTTGTTTCTATTTGAATTGAATCCCAGCTTTAATAGCTGGGATTAGTTCACTCACACTGTTGGGTTATCTGTTATATCCTCACCACTCAAAGCTGTTAATCTGTCATGATACACAAAAGTGAATGTATATGTAACCGTATCAGCAGTGCTGTTAAGTACCTTTTGTGATAAAACAGTTTCCAGTTACAATGCGGGAGTATCAAAGCACTGAGCAAAGGTAGCAGGTGTTGTGGTTCTCTTTGGGGGTGCGCTGACACTGTTTGTCCTATCAACAAAAAACACCTGTCACAGCTTATCTGCGCTCGAGTTGGTTACCAAAAGCCAAAATAAATGAGAGGTTACGAGTGGCTCGCTTTCAGGATATCGTTCCGTTACAAACGTGAGAAGAGCCAAAAGTTAGAAGACACCATTTGTTACAAGAGGTGTAGACACCAGGGGGGAGTTGGCTGCTGGGCATTTATATGGAGTCCTGAGCACGTGTCTGTGGGGCAGTAGCTTTGTGCCTGAATAATACAGCTACTAATGCAAAACTATAACAAAGCAGTTGTCAGTAAAGAGCGTTTCATATGAAACAGAGCGGTCTTCATGCTTCACTGTGTTCCCTGCTGCATTTCTTAATGTCACAGTTGTATCTGTAAACAAACACAAACCCGGGTGTCGCTCTTCTGAGCATTCTTTTTAAACATGTCTCTTCCCCATCAGTGGTAGAGAATGCCCTACTCGCACTCCATGCCAGCACATACCTCTCAGGACCCCTCTCTAAATATAGCTTTCCCCTGTGCAGCCCAAAACGTGCCTGCTCCGTAATGCTTAAATAAAAAGTGGTTAACAATAATGGGTAATTCAAGACCGTTAGTGGCTCCATTTTCTCTTCTAAACGACACATCTGATATATGAGGTCAACAGAGGTCACTTTGGCCTTTTTTGAATAAAGTTCCCAACTCTGAACCTTCCCGAAGTCCCCGTTTTTTTTTGTTGTTTTTTTGACGGTGACCACACACCTTCCCTGAGCGCACAGGTTGTGAAGTACAATTGCAAACCAAACTGCTGATGCCAGCAGACGCAAGGCAGCTCCGCTTTGTTTACCAGACACTTTCAGCTGGAAAGCTGTGTGTGTGTGTGTGTGTGTGTGTGTGTGTGTGTGTGTGTGTGTGTGTGTGTGTGTGTGTGTGTGTGTGTGTGAACAAAAGGATGTTTGGCATATGCCCACATGATGTGTGAGGGGGTGTACATTTGTTCGCCTGGGCCTACAGATCACAGAATAAAGGTCAATGCAAACATATTACTGCTCATCTCTACCACATGAGCTGATATTCTGATAGTGTTTAAATGAAGGCCTGCTGCATTGCTAAGTGGCATGTGGCTCAGCAGCATGTGGTTAATCAGAACAGGGAGACATGTGCTCCAAGCTAGCCCACTGCAGCTGCCCCCCACACTTTTACCAGCTGCTTGCAGAAATCTCATCAGCCTTATTGTCTGCTGCAGTACCTTCACCCCTTTGAACATGTTAGCGGCCTGTTTTAACGCATTTAAGCGGTTTCTCTCTTTTATTATTATAGTGCATGCATTAAAAATGGCTGCATTATTATTGTTGCATGGTATCAGCAGATAACAGACCGAAGCATGACACATAAAGGTGACAGATATGTTTTCTGACATGTAAATAACCACCAGTGACCTTTCCTGTGACCTCTCTGCTCTTCCTCCGGCAGCTGAAAGAGCCCTGGACACCATGAATTTTGACGTGGTGAAAGGGAAGCCAATCAGAATCATGTGGTCCCAAAGAGATCCCTCCCTCAGGAAGTCGGGTGTGGGCAATGTTTTTATCAAGAACCTCGACAAGTCCATTGACAACAAAGCCCTGTACGACACCTTCTCTGCCTTTGGCAACATCCTCTCCTGCAAGGTACAGTTGACACAACACTGATTTATTTATGTATTAATTTATTTGCTGGTTTGAAATTTAACACATACATTTTTAAAAAAAATCATGGTTCCAACAGGAAAACTAGTCAAATTGCACCTTGAGCATAAATAAAGTGATCAAGTTTAACAGAAGCCTTTTAGAGGACAAATGTAAAAAAACAACGCCTCAACTGCTTTTTGCCTCAGTTTCTGTAAAATGCACCAAGTTTGCAACTTTTTGGTAGTTGCACACGTTCAAAACAAGAAAAGGGAACAGGAATGTCCCCACACCTGTTTCTTCATTTGGACCTGTTAGGCCTTTCTTTAGTTTTTCTGGTCTGATGGTGAAGAATAGGTTCTATCCAATATACTCCCATATTGATGTCATAAATTAACTTTTCTCATTGTTGCATATTTTAATGCTTCAAGCTTTACTTTTGTGGGTGAATAACATGCACCTGAGGGAAAAACCAAAATGAGATGCTTTGGTAAATTATTATTTTGTAAGATTGACAAATTAGCACCTTTAGCACAGTTATTTATCACACATTAAATTTTAGAGTCAGTAAATTATTGTTGTGGATAGGTGACTCCCAGGCAACAAACTAACAAACACCGGGCAACATGATGGTATAATAATAGATCATATATCATTATATTCAGAGAGGATATATATGGATATACAGGTGATGTTTTTTGTCATAAAATAAGAACGATAAAGTGCCTTTATATGGTGTTAATGGTGCATAAATATGAAACCTGTGGCAGCTTTAGCTGTTGGTGGGTGGTTGTTAGGCAACATGATCACAATATCTGATATAGATAAGAACCTTCAGAGGTCTGAGATGTGCATGTTGGTTGCTGAACTCCTGACAGATTTGGCGTATTTGGTGCAAGATTACTCTTCCTGTGGTGGATGCTCACATTACACATGGAAAGTGTTTCCAGTAATGATGTCAGTTTATGTACAAATAATCCTTTAAAGCCAAAACCTCAGGATTCCCTCCAAATGTTTGATTTCAGATAGTTTATAAGCTCCCCTCAAACTTTCTGTTTGTGAAGGTATTCCATTTGGAAAATGGATTTATTGAGGAGATAGACTGGCTTGTTCCAGACAGGCAATCATGCAAAGCTACTCTAGAAAAAAAGCATAATGGATCCTTTTAAGCAATACTTAAACAGTATTGCTGTTTAAGCTTGTAGCCGATAGCAGCAGCCTAGAATCTGTTATTGTATCTTTAAGGGGGAAAAAAAAGAAAAGAAAGGAAACTTTAATTAAAAACAGTGGAAAAAATTTATGAAAAATTACAATTAAATTAAAGGAGTTTAACAATAAATCCATTTAAAACAGCAAAACATAATTTGTTCACTGGACACATCCAGAGAAGTGATAAAACCGATTTGAGTCGCCTTACGCCACTCTCCAAATGTCGAACTTGCTTCAAAATGAAAGAACTGCCTTCATTCATAGTCGTGTCTATGTGCGTCTCCCTGCACTGTAGGTGGTGTGTGATGAAAACGGCTCCAAGGGGTACGCCTTTGTCCATTTTGAGACCCAGGACGCGGCTGATCGCGCCATCGAGAAGATGAACGGCATGCTTCTGAATGACCGCAAGGTGTGAGTGTCTGATAATCTCTGAACTGGAGGTGTGGATGTTTAATGTTGTTGGAAGACTTTTGAAGAATTTGCCTGAATTTCAAGCTGACTTTGATATAATATAAAAGTTATCATGATATTGAAAACCGCAGCTTATGTGCATCAGATCGTGTTGTTTCCTGTGTCTAATGTATAAATCTGACTTGTGTGTTCTACGTTTGTGTTGCGTCAACTGACTTTTTGTGTCTTTTTTTCAGTTGGTGAGCTTGTGTGTGAATAATATGACTAATACACTCATCTCTTACTGCCGCCAGTCTGACGATAGCCTCTAAACTAAGAGACAACAGACTAAAAACCTCTTACCTTTCCTTCCAACCAGTTGCATTTTCTGTTGCCTCAGTTCACTTGCTGGTCACCCATCTTGGAGTGTTTGTGTGTGTGTGTATGACCATGCTTGTGTGTTTTAGTGATGGATCGAATGCAGGAATGCAATACTGGATGGCAGAAGGGGAGAGGTCATCATGGCAAGGTATATAAGATCATTTGGTCCTCCTCAGCTTTCGTTTGTACTGTTCCTCCATCCCTCTCCATCTACCTCCACATCAAGTTTTGGACCAAGAATTAAGATGGTTGCCACTGTGTTGTCTAGCATGCCGACATATCTGCCTGCATCTGGTGGTATTAACAGCAGTTGAATGGATTGTACACGTTGTTCACCCCAGGAATGATGAGTCCCATGATGAAACGTAGCTGTGGATTTGTGTTGTGGATGTTGTCCCTGTTCTTGTGTTTGCGGGGTTAGGTTTTTGCTGATCATTCTTAACGTGGAACCCCGGACAGCCAGTGTTTTTGTAGACTGGAAAGTGGAAGTCAAAAGAGATGGAGTCTGGTTTGTTGTTTTTTGCTTTTTTCTCTTTTGTCAAGCCTGTTTTCCAAGAGTGTGCCTGTGCTGCTCTCCCTCTGTCTTCAGGTTTGTGGGTCGTTTCAAATCTCGCAAAGAACGGGAGGCTGAACTCGGTGCCAAAGCTAAGGAGTTTACCAACGTTTACATCAAGAACTTTGGGGACGACATGGATGATGAACGCCTGAAGGAGATTTTTGACAAATACGGTAAATCTAAATTTGTTTCCTGATCATTTCCAGATGAAGAGCTGCAGCATTTGCAGCACTCCTGCTACTTTTAGATCGCTCTGACCACTGGTACTTGCAGTTTCACTGTAGACCTGAAACTTGGAAGGACTGCAAAACAAAACTTCTGTGTCAAAACTGCTCATCCTTCTTGATTAGGATCATTATGAGCAGTAGCGCAAGCCTGAAGGTGGTGCATCTGATTAGTGGGGCACTGAGGAGCATGCACATTATGTACTGTGAATTTGTCCTCCAGGGGAAGACCTGGGAGTGATCAATCAACCAAAAAGACCTAAAGTGTGGTTTATTGCTCCACAGTCTTTCCAGACTTGGCTCCCTTTGACTTTGACTTGAAGGGTCACTGTTTGGAAATAGTAAAGATAATCCAGTGCACACTCCAGATGCACAAATCCAGAACAGAACTTCCTGGGGGGATGATCCGGTCTTGGCCGGTGCACTGGGAGCAATTTGTGAATTGTACTTTTAATGGATGAAGTTGAAAAATGTTGTACTTCCCTGATATTCCTGTGCAGCCACATTGTTTCATTTTCCATCCACTTTCTTTGGCCTTTGCAGGTAAAACACTCAGTGTGAAGGTGATGACAGACCCCAGCGGCAAATCCAGAGGGTTTGGATTTGTTAGTTACGAAAAACACGAGGATGCCAACAAGGTACTTTGTACTTTTGGAAATGTGTCAAGTGTGCGTTTGTCTGTTTTCTCTGACAAATGTGGCTTCATTTAAAGGCTGTAGAGGAGATGAATGGCACTGAACTCAACGGCAAGACTGTGTTCGTGGGCCGAGCTCAGAAGAAAATGGAGAGGCAGGCGGAGCTGAAGAGGAAGTTTGAGCAGCTGAAACAAGAGAGGATCAGTCGTTATCAGGTCTGCAGAAACTACTAGTTGTCTGTCAAAATAAAAATCAATTAATTTTATATTTCAATGTCAGTAAGTAAGCTGATGGTTCTGGATAAATCGTAACTTTTGTTTCAGGGAGTTAATCTTTATATTAAAAACTTGGATGACACAATAGATGATGAGAAACTGCGCAAGGAGTTCTCTCCATTTGGCTCAATTACAAGTGCTAAGGTAAAAATGGCTCAATACACTGAATAAATAAGAGACTTCAACACATAAGTTACCTCCGCTGTCTGTATTTTAGGTGATGCTAGAGGAGGGGCGCTCCAAGGGCTTTGGCTTTGTCTGCTTTTCCTCCCCTGAAGAGGCTACCAAGGCTGTGACTGAAATGAACGGGCGTATTGTTGGCTCTAAACCTCTCTACGTGGCTCTTGCTCAGCGCAAAGAGGAGCGCAAAGCCCATCTCACCAACCAGTACATGCAGCGAATAGCTGGCATGAGAGCCATGCCAGCTAATGCCATCATTAATCAGTTCCAGCCCACTAGTGGATACTTCATGCCAGCTGTGCCGCAGGTGTGAGAATCAAATTCAGGCTTGATGTGCATTTTAAAACTGATTGTATTACTGTGTTTAATATGAAAGGGCTATATTACAATCACAAATGCACAGATGCTTTTCATACTGGTCGTCCCACCAATTTTTATTGATATATACTGAGGTGTCAAAACTGATCATTGAGGGTGCTGGGGTGTCCTCGAATGTCATTTTTATGGGGGAAAGAGTTGATTAATGAGGACTAGCTACTACGGCCTGAGGCTGGGCTCAACATGGAGAGAGTATGGTGCTGTCAGGGTTGTTCTGATTGTCTCCAAGGACCCAAAATAATAAGTTTGTATTGATCACACATTTGACTTTCTTGCATTCATCAGGCTCAGAATAGGACTACATACTATGCACCCAATCAGATCGCTCAAATGCGACCAAATCCCCGATGGCAGCAACAAGGTGGACGAGGTCAAGGTGAGCCTGTGGACCATGATGGAGCACATGTCTGTGACATATTGAACATTATGCCCATACTCACATTGTTTTTATCTGTTCTTTCATCACTTCCAGGGGGTTTCCAAGCAATGCCCAGCTCGCTGCGTCAGCCAGGGCCCCGTGCCAACCTCAGACACATGAGTCCTAGCAGCAGCACACAAGGCCCACGAGGTGCATTCACAAAAAAATAGCATCAATTCGTTGACTACGGGTTTGGAATTTGAAATCAATGATATTGATGTTATACAAATGTTTTCCGTGTTATTAAAACTGTAATTTCTTCCTCGTGGTTGCTAGCTGGTGGTCAGAGCATGGGTCCTCGTCCTTCAGTTGGAGTCCCCGGTCCTCGGGCCATGCCTCCTTACAAATACGCCACTGGTGTCCGTAACCCCAACCCCCAGGTGGTGCAACCTATTGCCTTACAGCAGGTATCACATTAACTTCTCCCACATTAAGCATCCAAATGTTGACACATTGTTCCTCATTAAGTCTTAACTGTGCCTTCCAGACTCAGCCAGCTGTGCACGTTCAGGGCCAAGAGCCCCTCACGGCCTCCATGCTGGCTGCTGCACCTCCTCAGGAGCAGAAACAGATGCTGGGTAAGACTGACAGATACAAACAAATGCTGTTCAGGGTTTTGGTTTTTGGGCAAATTTATACTCACTCACAATTTTTTTTTTTTTCTTCTTCTCCTTAGGGGAGCGTCTGTTCCCACTGATTCAGGCCATGCATGCCAACCTAGCAGGAAAGATCACTGGCATGTTGCTGGAGATCGACAACTCTGAATTACTACACATGCTTGAGTCCCATGAGTCTCTACGTTCAAAGGTACCTCGCTACCTCAAGCACACTGAATAGTCCGGTATCCATTTTCTAAGCTGCGTCATGCTCATGTTTGTGTTTGTACAGGTAGAAGAAGCTGTTGCAGTTCTACAGGCTCACCAGGCGAAGAAAGACGCCACCCAGAAAGTAGGTGGCATGGCTCCTACTGCTGCTGCTGCCACATCCTGAAGACTCTGAGCTATTCTAACTTGGTATGGAAATCCATGTTTAGTCAAGCTAATCAATCAGGTTCATTAGGCTATGATAAAGATTGTGCGGCACTAATGGGAAGACATTGTGTTGTTTCAGAGCATAGAAAACTGAGAGGAGATGGGAAGAGACGCACTACACTGGAAAGCCCAGAGTCTTCTGAACAATCGCACGAAAACAAAAATCAAGAAAAAAAAGGAAAACATTATTTTAAATGTACACTTTGAAAAAATATTACATAATGCATAATTTTGTAGTTCTGTAATACTTTTAACGCTGCACACCAGATGCAGTGATGCAAATGAATCTTGAACAAAGGCCCTTTATTTTGTGGCAAAGGAGAGGAAGTAAAAAGAGCCTTGTTCTCTGTCTTTGCTTGAAAGCTTCATGTTGGTGTGAGATGACTCCTCCATCCTAACACGTTATCAATGGGTGTGTGGTAATTTCAATAAAGGGATGATATGTCCAGGCGACTCACCTTGTGTTATTTTAATTGAGAAGGAAAGTGTGCAGAAGCGGAGAAGCATATCAAGTAATCTGTGAAACGTGATGGGGGTAATGTTATGGCACGGGCAGTGGAACTGGACCACCAGCTTTAATGATCATGTGACTGTTGATGGAAGCAGCAGGATGTGATGTGGAGTGTGCAGAGCTATAGACTCTGCTCAGGTTCAGACAACTGTAATAAAGCCGCACAGAGAGCACTACAACGTGCAAATGGAGAATTACACAGAGCTGCAAAAGCAAGAGTTTACTCCAGGTAAATAAATCTAGATAATCTTCAGTGGCCAAGTCAGGCATCTGATCTCAGCCCAATAGAGCAGCCTTTTCACATTACTGAAGATAAAACTGAAGGCACAGACCCACAAACCAAGCAGGAACTGAAGGTGACTGCAGTGGCAGCCTGGCCGAGCATCTCAAGTGATGAAACGAAGCACCCGATGATATTCATGGGCTCTAGTCTTTCAGCAGTCATTGATTTTTCATCCAAATATTAAAAACAAGAAAAATTATTAAATTATTTGTCCAGCTGCTATTAAACCTCTGAAAATGGTGAACTATGTTTTTAAAAATGGTTAAAGTCACTCCAGTCACATCTTGACTGTTTGACATAAAATCCATGGTGGTGGTGTGCAGAGGCAAAATTGCAAAACCTGTTATTGACCAAACACACTTAAGTGTGTGTCTGATAAACACTTTGGTACAAAGTAATACTGAAACATGATAACGTACTTATAAGTTGTGTTTGGTGTTATTTAGGGTGTTTCTTTTTTAGCATTTAATCAAAAAGAAGGAAAAAGGTTAGGAAACGTTTCCCTATATTCAAATGATCCAGTGGGAAAACTGTCAAAGTGGCTTTGCAGTGCTTACACATTACTTCTGAAAATGCAAATTTTGCAAAGAATTAAAAGGTTGTAGTAACATGTCAAACTCTATCTTTAGCTTGTCCTATTAACAGTTTTGAGGAATTGTGAAGTTTGCAATTGTTTTCTACTATTTGTGATTAATTTCTCTGACGGATTAAAGGACTGGTTTCAGGCAGAGAGAAAATATTTGATTTAGGAGAGACATGTGGAAATTAGTTTGACTCCATTAAAAGTTAATAAAGAGAAAACAGGAGCCTTTACGAATTTTATGCCCAAAGTAATGGAAACTCTAGGTCCTCTTGCCATTTTTGCTAAGTCTTCTATTGGAAACCTCGGAGTATGTTTTAACTCGGCCTTCACGTTGGATGCTGCCATTAAATTTCTGCTTTGCTCTTGTTTTTGCCACTAAGCAATCTTACCAAGTTATGCTCCATTGTTTTTACACTGTGAACTGTAAGTTGTTGCTCATGCCTTTATTTAATCAAATCTGTACCCACATCAAATGATTTTATTTTTGGCTTACTAACATGGAAGCTTTCCTGTAAGGGTTTCTTCACTTGTTTCGAGGAACCCAGTGATAAAATGGTTTAACATCTTCCCTCTACACCAATTTAAAGTGGCAGTTTAAAGAGAAACAAAAAAGTAATCCATGGCAATGTAACCATGATTTAATGGCACTTTTCAAGTGTGACCCAGGCTGATAAAAGTTACTTATTTCCTGTCATTTGATTACATAGGCTTGATAACTAAGCGGGACGGTCTTGGACAAAAATAGATGATTAAAAAAAAATCAAAGCAAAGATCAGATTGCATCGTGGCTTTAAAACTACAAATATTTAAATCCAAATTGAAGTAAAATTCAGAGTTTATTGTAATAATGGGAGATTCCTCCGACAGGGGGCGGTAGAGTTCAGTAATCCGAGGCTGCCTGTTTTAGTTCTGGTTCTCTCCACCAATAGGAAGCTGCTGGGTTCAAAGTTGAAGGGTTAAATCCAATATGGCGGCTAACAAGCGGGTGTTGTATGTGGGTACGTTATGGCCGTTTTTGTTAAATTTTCGCTGTTTGAGTGTATGTAGCTTACGAGTTTACGACTGTATTATAAATCTGTATCGTAACAGTAATTCTGCGCATGTCAGGAACACGACAAAGACGCGCGAAAGCGAAGTTTAGCCCGAAAAATGAGCTCACGTTTAACCCGGCATGTAAATACTGTCCGTTATCCCAGCTCTCTACACTGTATTTGTTGAAAGTGTTTTTCCCTTTTTTGGAATGCGGATCTTAAAAATGCGTGTTTATGTCAGGTGGTTTAGCAGAAGAGGTGGATGAGAAGGTGCTCCATGCTGCCTTTATTCCCTTTGGAGACATCATCGACATCCAGATCCCGCTGGACTATGAAACGGGTAAGATCAGGACCGTTTTAACCACGATTAACAATAAACCCTGCAGCAGCACAAGATGAAAGTGTTTGCTTTGTCTTGTGCTTTACATTTTCAGAGAAGCACAGAGGTTTTGCATTCATCGAATTTGAGCTTGCAGAGGTGAGTCCGGCGTATACAGCCTACAGTGTGCTAACATTAGCCTATTAACGGTATTATGTAAATAATACAGCAGTGGAACAAGTATCGTTGGGTCATTCTATGTCAGGTCAGATTTTCCTGAAAAAAAATTGCAGGCAAAAATTTCTTTTTAATAATGATTATGCAAAATGTCAGGTCCCTGCTGTCATTAAAAATCTTACTAAAAATACTTAATGGGGATGAAGATAGGCAGCTGTTTGGATATTCCTCCGATATCATTTAAAAAACCTGTTATCTACAAAGCTAGATAACAGTCATGTCCTGGTGCTTTATATGCTGTGAGTTATGATAGAAACAAATAAAACACTGCTACTTTTTTTTCCTCCTGGGTCCTTGTGCTTGTATGATCAGTTTTTTAAGGGTCAAACATACTTGTCCCTCCAGTTCTTCCACTTCTTTGTACATTCTCTCACATCCACTCTGATAGTTTCAGCCATCATCCTCCAGGAATTTGCTTGACGGCGGCAGGCCACTCACAGTAGCTGTGGGCTGCATCGACCCCACATGTAGTTAGATTTTGTGGGAGCTGGACATCATGTTATGCTGTAGGTTAGGATGTAGGGTTTCAAAGGGGTTTGCAGTTATAATATTTCACACTGAAGCATAAATCCCCAGTAAGGCACATAGTATCTTTAAGGCCAGGGTTCACATTAGGTGAATGGTTTTACACATATTACAAAAACACCTTTTCATTCAGCTCGAGTGTGTAATTCCACAGGTATGACACTACCTACCAAATCCAAGTCATCGCTTTTAGGAAGAGGAAGTTTGTGTTCATATTATATCAAAAAAGTTTGATGTTCTCTCTCGTTTTTGAAATATCCATCTTTTTTTGTTGTTGTTGTTTTAATTTGATGAACTGAGGTAAAATGACCCAATCACAGATTATTTTATGCACATGATGATCTTGCTCTGTATACTTTTATTTAAATTAAAAATGACAATGTATTACATCTTAATATGATCTTCCACTTCCTTGTTGAAGTAGTTTTGATTGTTCTCTGGCGTGGCATCATCACTTAGTATTAACTTGGGTATTAGTCATTAATTAGCGTTCATCTGCATCTTGCCATTTTAAGAGCTGGGAATTTACCAAAGTGAGTCATTTGAATGGTTATTGGTGACTTCAGGAGAAACATATTTCTGTCCTCATAACCTATTTACGGCTTCTTTCTCATCTTCTGCAGGATGCTGCAGCAGCTATTGATAACATGGTAAGTTTCTCATATAACTGCTAGACCAGAGACGTTATTCCCATTGAATAGCCAAAAAAAAGCATCAAAGAACCCTTTTACCTGTCCGGGGTGTACCCCGCCTCCCGCCCTATGACAACGGGGATAGTCTCCAACCCCACCACGACCCTAAATATTAGAAAGTCGTGGCACATGATTGAAAACAAAGCAGTCACCTGATCATTTGTTTTCATTAAGTGTCATAAAGGACAGTCTAGTGTATCATCTGCTAAATTAGGTATTAAAGGAAGCACTGAAGCAGGTTTCCTTAGTAGTCTGAGATCTGGAGCAGCTCTTAGTATGGTTGTTATGCAGACACTCACAGATAACGTCACTCTGTTAAAAACCTTAATCTGCTTGATTATTGTTAAAATGTTTTTTTTTATCCCTCTAGAATGAGTCTGAACTTTTTGGAAGGACTGTCCGCGTCAATATTGCCAAACCCATGAGAATCAAAGAAGGTTCTTCTCGACCAGGTGAATAACAAACATTTCATACATTTTGTTTGTCTCTTTAAAAAAAACAATAGCGGTTCAAACTTTAAGTCTTCCTTTCCTGCAGTGTGGTCGGATGATGACTGGTTGAAAAAGTTTTCTGGGAAGACCGTTGAAGAAGCTGAGGCAGAGGCAGCAGCTGGAGAAACACCCCAAACTACAGCTCAGGAGGTGAGAGGATTTCACTTCTAACCTGTGTCTCTGTGAGGTCTTCCCTTTATAAATCTGTTAAGATGTGAGGCGGTAATTTGTTCTTGCAGGGTGAGCCTCCGGCTAAAAAGGGCAGAGTAAATCCTCAGGTCTACATGGACATAAAGATCGGCAACAAGCCAGCAGGGAGACTGCGCTTCCTGCTCCGGGCTGACATTGTTCCCATGACAGCAGGTGTGTATGTGTATATGCTACAAATCCCAAATTTTTCCTCTTTTTTTGAACTGGTCTCCATGTGTGTAGAAAGAAACCTGTGTTATCTGTTAGAACAACTCTTCTCTTTAATTTTAGAGAACTTCCGCTGCTTGTGCACTCACGAAAAGGGCTTCGGCTACAAGGGCAGCAGCTTCCACCGCATCATCCCTCAGTTTATGTGCCAAGGAGGCGACTTCACCAACCACAACGGCACCGGCGGGAAGTCCATCTATGGCCGGAAGTTTGATGATGAAAACTTTGTCCTTAAACACACAGCTCCAGGTGAGCAGTCGTTTATACTGTTCTGAGAAGGTGCAGTGAAGCATGTCAACAAGGCTCCTGGTTTTTAGCTGATTCAATTCAATTCAATTTCTTTATTGTCCCACAAGGGGAAACTAGTTTAGCAGCAGGATATAAATAAACAGAACAATACTATAAAATAATAATGACAATAATAGTGATAGAAAGTCCAAGGACAGTTATTTGCCATTGAGGAGAGAAGATGCAGTGGGGATAAAAGAGACCTGGAGTCCTTTAGTCCTCCTCGGAGGTACTCTAAAACGACGGCCGGAAAGCAACAACTCAAACTCACTGTGAAGTGGTTGGTTCAAACAATTAATAATAGAATGAGCCTTTCTAAGCACATTTCTATTGTAAATGGCCAAAAGTCCATCTTGCCAGTGCCCTGAAATTCTGCTAGCAGTTTTTACCAGAAGTCCCAACCGATTCTTATTCTTCACCGTCAGGTTACCAAACCAGGCAGCGATACAAAAAGACATCACAGATTTGATAAAACTTCTATAAAACAAAGACAACATCTCGGATGAGACATTAAAAGATCTCATTTTCCTTAAAAAGAACAGTCTTTATTGAACTTTTTTAGTAGTGGCATCAGCATGAGATTCAAAACACAGTTTATGGTCAAGTACCACACCTAGATATTTATAACTCTCAACGATCCCAATATCGGCAGTTTTAATGATAGTGGGTGATGAGCTATAAGAGGACTTCCTAAAATCAATAATCATGTCTTTAGTTTTTGACATATTAAGTGACAGGAAGGACTCATCACACCAATTCACAAAATCATCTACAACCTGTCCATGGCCTGACTCGTCCCCCACTAGAAGACTGACGATCACTGTGTCGTCAGCAAACTTCAGGATGTGTCTGTTCGTGAAATTGCTGCGACACTCATTCGTGTACAGAATGAACAGAAGGGGAGAGAGGCAGCAACCCTGGGGTGATCCAGTAGAGGAGGAGAGCACATCAGAAAAGACATGATTTACCCTCACGCATTGTGACCTATTAGTCAGAAAGTCTGTCACCCAGCCGACCAGACTAGTGTCAAGCTTGAAATGATTGTAAAGCCTGTCAGCAAGTAAGAAGGGTTGAATTGTATTAAATGCTGATGAAAAGTCAGCAAATAATAATCTTGCATGAGTGTGAGGGGCCTCAAGATGCTTATACAAGAGATGCAGGAGTGTGACAACAGCATCCTCCACACCTCTTCCTGCTCTATAGGTGAACTGGAAGGGGTCAAGATGGTGTTCAACATGCATTAAAATCTCCTTCTTAATTATCTTCTCAAATGTCTTCGTCACTAAAGAAGTCAGAGCCACAGGCCTAAAATCATTCAGTACCTTAGGAGAACTGCCCTTATCAACAGGAACAATAATAGCATGTTTCCAAATCTTAGGTACTGTCTGTAGCTCTAAAGAAAGTGAGAAGATATAGTGAAAAATCCCACTCAGCTGATCAGCACAAGTTCTCAGTACCTGTCCACAGATGTTGTCAGGTCCAGGACTCTTGCTTTTAGTGTGTCTAAAAAGATTATCTACCCCCCTCTCATCAATACAAATTGATGGGGGAGTGATAGTCTTTTCCCTCAGTGTGCTGGTCTGCCTAGAACAGTCAAAGTTCTCAAAACGAAGGTAAAAACTGTTAAGACTGTCTGCCAGATGTTTGTCAGAGGTAAACCCCTCTAAGGTAATATTACTTTTACCTTTCGTGTGTAGCCCTGCCATTGTTTTCATACCAAGCCAAGCTCTTTTGAGGTTGTTACTGCTGAGTTCTGCCTCAATCTTATTTCTATACCTCATCTTGGCAATCTTTATTGCAGCCCTCACCTCCTTCCTCAATATTCTCACAGTGGGAACGTCTCCCTCGTTAAAAGCAATTTTCCTTTTAAGAATCAGATCCTTAATATCTTTAGAGAGCCACGGTTTGTTATTAGGGAAAGTCTTAAATTCTCTGACTGGAACCACAGAGTCTTTGCAAAAAGAGATGTAGCTACACACCACATCGGTGAGTTCATCCAAATCAGAAGTGCTCTCTTGAAACAAGGACCAGTCAGTGCAATCAAAACACCCCTGAAGGGCAACACAACTGTCTTTTGTTCAGACATTAGTCCGCTTCTCCCTCCTAATCACAGATCTGTAAGCAGGGAGGAGATGAATAACATTGTGATCCGAAGAACCTAGCGCAGGTCCGGCCACAGACTTATATGCCCCCTTAATTGGTCCATAACACAAATCCAGCGTTTTGTTATTCCTTGTAGGACAAGTGACATATTGAAAGAAATTGTTCAGTGATTTCTTAAGATTACAATTGTTAAAATCACCAAGAATAAAATTAGGAGCATCCGGTGAGAGTCTCCAGATTTGTTAACACTGGAAAAATGGGTCTTTCAGTGTGAATCATTTCTTTTGTGATTTACGTCAGAAGCGCAACAAAAGACAAAGGTGTGTTGGCTCGTACTTCCTGTTCCTACGACCAGATTGGACACGCCAGCATTTTTGTTTCAAACCTGTGATTGCTAAAGCGTTGAAAAGCAACGTGGCATGACTGAAGAGTTGTTGCTGACATTTGGAATTCTTTGCATATGTAGCTGAAAACTCGTAAATCAAGTGAGGAAACACAAATAACTCGCTGACAGACTTGTGTCAAGAATTCAGTCACAGGTTAGCGAGTGTAACAGATCAGTCCATCCTCCAATCGCATTCACACGAGTCAAACAAGTGGGATTTTTCATGACAAACTTACTTTTCTCACCACTTTTCTCATACCATCGTAACTAAGAGCTGCTATAATAATCTTTTTATCTGACCTTTAATTAACACTTATTTAAACTAACACTACTGTCAATTACTATTTAACATAAATGGCATTAAGTGTAATTCTGGCACTTCAGGATTATTAGCCTGAAAACTACAGTAATGCCTTAACGAAGAATGAACCTTACTGGTGGATTTTTTGAACTTTACTGACGCAAAGGCTTTTTTTAAATTAGCGTTATAGATGAAATTGAGTTATTTTTAAAGTAGTTTGCAGGCTACATGATTAACTATGTAGGCACAACCCACTCAACAAACTGACTAAAGGAAAGTAAATACTGGAATAGCTCACAGTTTGCAGTAACAAATCCTACATGGAAGACTCATCTCAGTGACAAACTCGATCTGTGATCACTTGAAACCTGGCAGGTGTGTTACTGTAATATTCGTAGTGCCACTTCTAATCTATAACTTTTTGTTACCTGCTGAGAGGCTAAAAATGTAACTTCAAGAGTCTTATATTTTTATTAGCGTGTTAACGTGCGCATTCCCTGTCATATCACGAAGAACGTTACCCAGCTATCATGGTGCTCTAGGTTTTTGTTTGGGTTATCAGCACTGCTATATGTAGGCAGGTTCTGCACAGAAGGCATGATTTTAGACTCATGACATAGAGATGACTGATAAATCTTAATTTCTTCATCATTGTTATATGAACGTGCAGAACGAACATTGCAAAATCCACAGTGAATAAGAAAAGCTATTTTATTTACTCGTGGCATGTATTTACCCTCAGATTTTTGACCTCAGTAAAAGCATGTTTGAATTCTTTTACTTTTGTTGATTGAGTGGATCGAGGCTATTCAGCGTTTGGTGCTTATGCGAGCAGACTGGACCTGATAAAGAAGAACAATAGGGCTGTATAGCTAATACACACGTTTTATCATTGCAATACTGGTAATGTTATCACAGACTTTGTGCAGACATATTGTAACAACATATTTTCCACATTCAGTTGAATGTGGTGGGTGGCATGGTGGTTAGCACTGTTGCCGCACAGCAAGAAGGTCCTGAGTTCAATTCCACCATCAGGCCGGGGGCTTTCTGTGTGGAGTTTGTATGTTCTCCCCGTGTTTGCGTGGGTTCTCTCCGGGTACTCAGGCTTCCTCCCACCAAAGACATGCACTTATTGGGGATAGGTTAATTGATTAATTTAAATTGCCCAAAGGTGTGACTGTGAGTGTGAATGGTTGTCTGTCCCTGTGTGTTAGCCCTGCGACAGCTGGGATAGGCTCCCGTGACCCTGAAAAAGGACAAGCGGAAGCGAATGGATGGAAAGAGTTGAAGCTAGTTTTATTGAAATGCTGCCAATTCACTAAAGCAGATCGTTTATGGTCTACGGTATTTGATCTAAACCCCCAAAATCTGATGATCCCCTATGTGCAGCACCTGATGAAAGTGGAAAGGAATAACTACTTTTTAATAGGAAGCAACCTCGAGCAGAACTAGACTCAGGCAGGGCTGACTGACTAACTGTTGTCTCCTATGCACACAGGGCAACTCTCCATGGCGAACTCTGGGTCAAACACAAACGGCTCTCAGTTCTTCCTCACCACTGACAAAACGGACTGGTTGGATGGCAAACATGTGGTGTTTGGAGAGCTGGTGGAGGGGATGGATGTACTTAGGGCAATGGAGGTAAGGGTCAAAGCTGCAGTAGGAGTTTTCTTTATAATGGTGTTGGCTGTTTCACTTTGTAAAGGTTTTTGTTAAGAAAAAACTGTTCTTTTTCAATATACACCAGTATTTGTGCTCCATAAACCTGGGAATGCACCGGATGGGTGCACAGACCTCTCCAGCAGTTTTGTTTCGCCTTTTCACACCTTCATTTTGCATCTGGAGCGTTTCAGTGGTGGACAGGACATGACCTTCTGTTTAGAAAATTCCCAGGAACAGCCCAGGTTGTGCAGCTTGGAGACAAAGTTAAGGAAGCGATGCTGAGATGTTTTGGACATGTGCAGAAGAGAGATGGTGGAGAGCAAAGGATGTTGAATATGGGGGTGGAATGTTCAGTATACTAGTATAAAAGCTCTCACAACATTCAGAACAGTATCGGACAACAACGCTTTCAAACGCGTGGCTCCCTGTTTCTGGAATGATCTGCAGAGACAGCTTGGACTACTGTGGCCCTGTAGATGTCACTTTTAAATCGTGGCTCAAGAGTTGGGAGTTTGCCTTGTAATCGGAAGGTTGCCGGTTCAAGTCCCGGCTTGGACAGTCTCGGTCGTTGTGTCCTTGGGCAAGACACTTCACCCGTTGCTTACTGGTGGTGGTCAGAGGGCCCGGTGGCACCAGTGTCCGGCAGTCTCGCCTCTGTCAGTGCGCCCCAGGGTGGCTGTGGCTACAATGTAGCTGCCATCACCAGTGTGTGAATGGCTGGATGACTGAATGTGTGAAGCACTTTGGGGTCCTTAGGGACTAGTAAAGCGCTATACAAATACAGGCCATTTACCATTTAAAGGACTGACAGTGAACGGTCATGTCAGATAACTTGTTGTTTTCTCTCTGCAGGCTCAGGGAACCAAAGACGGAAAGCCGAAGCAGAAAGTGATCATCTCGGACTGTGGAGAGTATGTGTGAATAAAAAGCATTGTGTGTGTGTGTGTGTGTGTGCGTGTGTGTGTGTGTGTGTAAGCGGCACATGTCTGAGAGCAAGATGACCTTTTGCTGTTTTGTACTTTGAAACCAGATCTTCTGCCATGTAAATATTTCAATAAACTCATTTTATAATGAAACATGTTTCTTTGATTGTCTTATCTGCTTACCTATTCAAAGCTCCACAGTGAAGGCCATTTTTTGCACATATTTACTGTTGTATGGTTTTGCAAGGTTACAGGGACCTAATATGCTTCGTAATTTTATTCTTGCATGATTCAAATAATCCCAATTAATCTTAACCTGGGTTTTAGTGCAACTCACTTAAAGACCATCCTCCCTTTAAAGCTCGCTTCCTCCGTTTGGCTGCCCCTCACAAAAGTAGAGAGGGGCTGGTTCCAATCCAGGAATATCTAATGTGAACTGCAAAATATAAAGCAAAGAGTAATATGCAAATTAGGCATAATATACTTAAATAAATCTAACTCTAATGTAAAGACATTTAGAACAAGAATGAAAGTAGACGTTTGGCGTTACAGAAAATTTTAATGTTGAAATGACTTTTGTTCGGGAAACGTTATTTAGCGAATATGCAGATAAAAAAAACTGCAAATTAGCACAAACGTGCAGCAGACAGTGTAAATAGACATGCATTCTTTCAGTTTACCTTAACTTGTGCCTGTTGCCTGTCTCTGCTTAAGCTTGTTGTTTCCCAGCTGAACAGGATCCACCACATCATTGATTTTTAATTAGTCTTCTAAAAAATAACAGCGAGGAGGAAAAAAAGTTGCAGCGGAATTATTGTTGCATATTTCAAAGCAGCCAAAATAACTCCCCATGACTGAACAAGTTCTAGGTGGAGCAGTTATTTCACCTGAACACACTGAGCTCGAGGCAGACGAGCGACTCCGCCCCTTCCACTCCCATCCTGTCGGGAAATGTTCCGAGAGTGTCATCGGAGAGGTTCGTCCAAACTCCGCTCCTGCGCTCCGACTTTGAACCGCGACATCTGGGTTTAAACTGTGAGTATTCACAGACATGTGTAAAGGAGTTGCTCAGATATTAAAGCGAGTTTGTTTCAGTGAATTTTTAGTGCTTGTTGTCTACTTTGGTTTGCGCTATTGCGCGTTAACTGTTAAAACTGTGTGAAGTGGAAAGGCTGGTTTGACTTGACGGATTGAGACTCCGCACGCAGATGATTGCCAAAGTCAGACGTTTTGCAACTGAAAACACACTGTATACGTTTTTAGTCTCTTTTCTGCTCGCGTTACACGGATTTGTGTACTTCACTGTCGCCCCAAATCCGTGTAAACACGCAAACGTGTACGCTTATGACCCAGCTCCTCCACACTTTGTTTCTTCTCCCTTTTTATGCATTTGTGATTCGACTGCGTTTTCTTCTTGTTTCAGGCTAGTTCATCCCTCACGTTGGTCTGTTCCACCAACGGCTGCCTCTCTCTTCCATCAGCAGCAAGAGAAGACAGACTGTGAACAAAAGTCATCATGAATTGGGTAGTTCTCCAGGGCCTCCTCAGCGGAGTGAACAAATACTCCACAGCCTTCGGCAGAGTTTGGCTCTCGGTTGTTTTTCTCTTCAGAATTATGGTGTTTGTGGTGGCAGCAGAAAAGGTGTGGGGAGATGAACAGAAAGACTTCACATGCAACACAAATCAGCCCGGCTGCCATAATGTCTGCTTTGACCACTTCTTCCCCGTCTCCCATGTGCGCCTATGGGCCCTCCAGCTTATCTTCGTCACCTGCCCCTCATTCCTGGTGGTGATGCACGTCGCCTACAGGGAGGACCGAGAACGGAAAAATCAGCTAAAGTATGGCGAGAACTGCAAGCGTCTCTACCCAAACACGGGCAAGAAGCGTGGAGGCCTGTGGTGGACCTATATCCTGACTTTGGTCTTCAAAATAGGCGTGGACGCCACCTTCGTCTTCCTCGTTTACCACATGTACGAGGGCTACAGCTTCCCCAGTCTCATTAAGTGTGCACAGGATCCCTGCCCCAACACGGTGGATTGCTTCATCTCTCGGCCTACTGAGAAAAGAATCTTCACCATCTTCATGGTGGTCACCAGCTTGGCCTGCATCCTCCTCTCCTTTTTTGAAATCCTCTACCTAGTCGGAAAACGCTGCCATGAGTTTCTCAGCTCAGCCCATCACTCTCGTCAGGTCATCACCCACTCAATGTCCAGTGGAAGCAAACTGATGGAGGCAAACGCTCTAAAGTCAGCGGAACAAGGCACCACTGAAAAGAAGTCGTACTATGTCGTCGTATCTTGAGATACTGAGAACATTACACAGACTTTATGAAAAAGACATGGGAAAGCAAAGCTGTCTCTCGCCATTTTACAGCAACTTCCTTAAAAGACTTGACAGAAGATTTTTCTTCTTCTCAGAGACTGAACTGCAGTGTAGTTTATTCTATATGGTTTTAAAAGTTTAAATTCTGCACTCCTCTCTGCTGTAGGGACTTATTTTACAGTTTACATTTCTTTAGCCCTTGCAGAGAATAAAAAACAATTTGTGCAAAGCGGTGTCCAACTGAGCCTTGAGATCAAATACATGAGTCACTCGCTGGTTTGGCGAGTAAGGTTTTACAAACACATGTGGTTTGTGTGTAAGATTTTCCTTCTGCTCTTGCCCAGCCTCAAGATGTTTGGTTCAAACTGTGTGCAGTCTTTCCCTCTGACTCAGACACTCAGTGTGTCAGACTCTTGGTGAACTGTATTTTTCATTATTTATCAAAAGGTTGGAAAGTTGCTGCATTTTACTTTCTGTATTTCCTGTGTACATGCAGTAGAGAACAAAGAGCAGTCAGTGATATCAGGGTGTTTATATTTCACTGCACTGAGATGCAGTTTTGTTGTGATTATTTTTCATTAAAGATTATAATTTTGCATTTTGAGTGTGTTTTTATTAGTGCAGGGTTGAGTCCTAGAGGTCCACACACTGCAGCATATACTGTATTAACTTCAGAATGAGAGCTGTAGTTCCAGTAAACAGATAATCTTCCCATGCAGAACAATGTAAAGCAGGCGGCCTGTCCAGAAAAGGATTAGAGGTTCTGTGGTTGGACTAAGGCGTCAGACTTTCTTCTCTTGTTTTCTTCCTTCATCCGTGTGTTTCATAAGGCCCTCTCTCATTGGCTGCACAAATTGCTTTGTTGCCATGAGCAGCGCCCTCATAACTTTTTACAGTTGATTGGTACTTTAAAACGGGCAGAGCAGGAACCTCCCACTCCTCGGTTTGTTTCATCCCTGCTGACGTGTGGATCCACCCAGCACAGGAATTTGCTATTCTGAATGTACAGCTTCAGTATTTACACTGTAAGAGAGATGAAGTAGATCTAAGGAGAGAGTTTTTTGCTCTCATTGAGACATGTAGACGTGAATGTTTAACTGGAACTGTTAAAGTGTATTTTAGTAGACACTCTTTTCAAAAATTACCCCTGAGGTCTGTAGATTATCGTAATAACATTCAGGAAAGCCACTTTCACCTTCACTGTGGAATGCCATCAGAAATATGACAGATGTGCACTAAGCAGAAAATTTTGTTTTGGTATGTGTGTACATGACTTAGGTCAAGCGATCCTTAAAATTACCTGAACTTTCAGAAATATTCTCCAGGCTGCCAGAGGTCCTTGTTGGGCCCATCTAGAGATGAATTAAATATTGATTGAGAGAATCTTAAGTAGTTGAGATTATTTGACTAATGCCCCCAAAACTCACTGGTACCGTCTGCCACAAATGAGAATATTTGCAAGTTTACATTGTCTTATATATTTAACTCGCTGTTGTTGAGTTTGGGGCTTTTGGTAGGAGAAACTTTGGAATAGGTGGTTGTTTCCCACCAGGTCCAGCACAATTAGATGCATTAGAAATGAGAATAACTGTAGTTAAGGCCATAATGTTTTCCTGTCATGGAACAATGCAGGTTTTCCTGAAGCAGTGTGACCAGTCATGATTTGGCTTATTAACATAAATTAGTCCAAGATTTTTTAGAGGATCCTTCCACAAGGGAAAAGGCACAAGACGAACGTGGACCTTTGATAGTTGATATTTTCTGGTGATGACAATAACCCAATAATAACTTTACTTAACCTTCGTCACATAAAGTATTGTGTAATATAAACTGGCACTGAAATTTCGAGCAGCTTTATGTTCAGCTCTGTTCTGTGCTTGTTCTATGTGGTCTGTTTGTGTGGGTCTTTTCTTTAATGAGCCTCATCATCAGACCTTCCCTGGTGTATCTTCTCATCTTGCACCAACTTCCTCTGTTCTGTTTCCTTACTTTCATCACAACCAGAGAAGTGTTTATACTGTCGTTTTGGCCTCTCACGTAAAGACTTGCCACGGTTGAGTCACAGACTGCATTTTTCCAGGCGTGCCTCATCTGCCTTGACTAGTTCTTCATTTAAAGTCTAAAAGACTCTTTTTTTTTAACCCCTCCCCGAATTGAATGTAATTTCTGTCCACTGAACTGATCTAAGTTGTGAATTGCTGATGTTGTGCTGCCCTGCCCTCAGAGGATTTCCTGAAAAGCTCAGCTACAGCTGAAGCTTCAAGTTCAGCCATGTCATTTAAAGAGAGCACCACTCCAACAATCTGCATCTAGTGTTGCTTTTACATTTACAAAATGACACAAAGGTGTTTGTTGTTTGAATGCAAGACTGGAATATGTAAAGGAAGTTCTTTCTAAAGCATTTAAAGATATACAGTTGAATTAATTGTGGTTGTGCACATTTTCACCTGGTTCTGGTTCACAGTTCTTATTATATCTTTGTCTTTTAAGCGGTTTACAAGGTGCAAAGAGTAACAGTAACTTAACTTGATGATCAGGTTTGGTTTTGCACCGTGCATGTGACACCTGAACAGGAACTTCTGTGATTTCTGCGAACTTTTCCTGGACTTATTTTAACTTTTGTGTTTGGTGGGGAGACATGGCTATTATGAGCCTGTATCAAACCCATTAGGGCATTGTGTTTGTGATACTAAACAGTACAAACAAACCTGACT